CTATGATGTGCCGTGGAGAGTTTCTTTTCTGGTCCTGTCTGTTTGGTGTTCTATATGCTTCTTTTATTTGTATGGGCATGTCTTTCTTTAATTTTGGGAAATTTTCTTCCATGATTCTGTTGAAGATCTGGTCCATGCCATTACCTTGGGATTCTTCTCCTTCCTGTATGCCTATGATTCATAAGTTTGGCTTTTTTATGGTGTCACACAATTCCTGCAAGAATATTTTAAGAATATAAATATAATATATATTAACGTTTACAAATATATGAATATACTCAAAGTAATAAAACACAAGGACTTCTAATCATAGAGGGCAAAATGTAAAAGTATATGCCTGTGGTTCTGTATTTCAATATATGCATGGCATAAATTATCAATAGAAGCTGAATTTTATATGATAATTATCTCATAGGCTAACAGTAGACCTTCAAATTCTCATTGGTTTCCTTTAAAATTTTTATTATTTAATTTAATTTAAATTTTAAATTGAATTTGAGGATTTCTTCAACATATTTTTTGTCATATTCAGACTCCTCCCCTATCTGCATCAGATGGTGATTAACACTGTGACCCACAGCTGGTCAACATTCAGAATGCTTATCTCTGAATAGGACACATAGATCAAACTTCTGCCTCCCACCACTAAATGATCATTGCCAGAGAGAGTCCAGAAAGATTGGTGGAATCTTTAAGGTCTTTTATGTGTAGAATCACATCCTCTGAAAACAAATGTGCTGTAAATCCTTTCCCTTTTTGTATCCCTTCATCTGTTTGACTTATCTTATTCCTCTAGATAAAATGTCAATATATGGAACAGGATTGGAGAGAGTGGACATCCCTGCCTAGTTCCTGGCTTTAGCATAAATGCTATGACTATTTCTCTATTTACTATGATGTTGGCTGTGGGCTTGTTATATATAACCTATAATATACTGAGATATGTACCCTGTATCCCTATTCTTCATGACCTTGATCATGAAGCGACATTGGATTTGGTCAAAGGTCTTTTTTGGCATCTAATGATATAATTATGTGGTTCCTGTCATTAAGTCTGTTTATGCAATAAATTACATTTATTAATTTACATCTCTTTGAAAAGATTACATGGTTAACAAACCTTTAACCAAATAAACCAGAAGAGAGAAGATCCAAATTAATAAACTCATAGAAAAAAAAGCAAACATTACAATAGATACTGATGAAATTCATAGAATCATAAAAACATACTTTAAAGACCTGTATTCCACTAAACTGGAAGTCTAAAACAAATGGATGCTTTTCTACATTTGTACTTACCAAAGCAAACCAAGATGAGTACACAGTTTAATTAGATCCATAACAACCAGTTAGATATAAGCAATATTTGAGGAAATTATAAAAGAGAAACTGTATCAAGGGTGCCCAGATATTGTGCTATTATGTTTATTATATCTCAGAGTTAGAACATTAAATATACATTCTGAATAATTAGGTTTATCACATGAAGCAGTAAGAAAAAATTTAAACTTGTAACCACTGGGCTGGAGAGATGGTCCAGTGGTTAAAAGAACTGGCTGTTCTTGCAGAAGATCTGGGCTCAAATCCCAGCACCCACATAGTGGCTAACATCCATCCTTAATTCCAAGTCCATGGTATCTGACGCCCTCTCCTGTCCTCTGTGGGCACTGTACAACATGGTGCACTTGCATACATGCAAGCATAACACTCAAGCACATCAAAAAAAAATAAAAAACCTCTAAGAAAATAGATGGATCAGATAGATACAGTGCAGTATTCTACTAGACCTTCAAAGAAGAACTAACACCAACACTCCTCAAATTATTCCGTAAAACAGAAAAGGAAGGAACACTTCCAAATTCTTCCTATGAAGCCAGTGTTACCCTGATACTCCAAACAGACAAAGATTCAACAAATAACAAAATTTTAGGACAATCTCTCTCACGGAGATAGATTCAAAAGTTCTTAATAAAATACTTGCAAATCAAATGCAAGCGAGTATCCACTATGATCAAGCTGGCTGTATCCCAGAGATGCAGGGATGGCATAGTGATGTGTATATCAATAAATGTATTTATAGTTGAGAATTTTGTGTAGCTGTATAATGAATATGATCATATTAACCTACTTGATAACCCTTCCCTATGCCTCTCTCGCTCCTTTTAGACTACTTCCCAACATATTTCCCTTCTACTTCCATAACTTTTTAAAGAAACCTACACGGTTTGATTAGGGTTGATTGCACATACATGGGCATAAGATTATTTATTGGATGATTGGATCATGGGAAATTTAGCAGTCCTTAAACCCCTCACAAAAATGCCTCCTCCTCCCCCAAGAGTCATTAAATGTCAAAAGATGTTCAGCTAGTGGTTGCAGATATTAACACTTCGTCAGCAACAGATGGATGTCGTGAGGTGATAGGATGAGCACATTAGTCTGAGTGGAACTTCCTACAGTGTACACATGAGTCAAAGCAGCACAGTGTATCTGAAAAGCATGTACATTTTTACATGTTTATTAACAATCAAATAATTTCTTTTAGTTTTCATATTTAAATTTTATTTTTTAAATTTAAGTTATTGAATCAAAAGCATGTCAAGAAAGCAGAGGAGAAAACAGCTTCACCAGTCCTGGGGGTCTTTGTTGTAAAAAAAACAACAATAGTTAAGTATCAGTGTACAGGGAGGTGGACCTTTAAGAATCTGGGACTCTGATGGCTGATTTCATCTTCAAGGTATGTGTACCATCTTCAGAGCATCCTGATCTTAACATTTGTTAATCAGGAAGCCATAGATGATTGTTTGTATAGAGTGTATGTTAGTATTTCCATCTGAACAGTTAATTTCTGAAAATTCCTCCTCTCTTTCAAACAGAGAGAACTTGAGAGTTAGAAAACTAACTCAGGGAAGTGGAGGCTTTCAGGCCACATGTAAATTTGTGGCAATGGTGGCATCGAGCACAGGACCCATGCCAGCTCAATTAAACAAGGTCCCAGAGGGGAGGACAGAAATGGGTGGCAGGTGGCCCTAGAATGAGAGCCACTGGAAAGTGACTGATGCTGAATGGGGGACAGTATGCCTTACATACACTCTCTAGATGGGCTGATTAGACTCCAGTGGACACATTTACACTGAAGGACATCTGGGTACAAATGCTTGACTGTATGGGATTTAACATGTGTGGTGGAATACGTGAGGTCTGGTGGGGGGATAGGGGGCATGGATGGGGGAGGGGATCTGAATTTGATTAAGAACTGTTGTATAAAATTACAAAAGCTCAATAAAAAATTTAAAAAACAAATAATTTTATAAAACAAAGGTATTTAAAAACTAAAAGCAGAAGCAAATACGCCAAAAACTCTCAGAGAATTCCCATAAGGTCCCATATTAAAGACATTCCTGTGCTTTAATATCAAAATTTTCCTACACTGCAATATTAAAATCATCAGAACTTTCCTCAAGGAAAAAGACCTAAGCATTAGAACCCTGAATCTTCGTTTAATTTTCACACTATTTTTTTTACCTTTTTTATGAGGTGTATAGTAATAGAGAAACAGTTGTTCTTGTTTTCGATGGTATCACATATTTTTCACATCATGGGTGCTAAATTTAACAAATCCTGATGGTTATATTCAATGGCTTTTAGTACAACAGACTACCAGCACAGCATATGAATTAGTGAAAAGCTTTATCCTTTGCTTTGCAGGTGAAACAGACCCGGGAGATGCGGGTGTCACTAATAATGAGCACGTAGGGGCTGATTGTTGGAAAACACGATGCCAGAAGTACAGAGCTGTTCACCCTCCACTTGCTACTATTTTCAGCAAGAACCATCTGCAAGGTCAAACTAAGGTAGACTGAATAAAAGGTTGCAAAGAAGATCACCAGAGTGACAATTCTGCATGTGGCTCTGTCCTCGTTGGAAGCACCAGAGGAGAGGCTGGAGCTGTGGGTGTGTTGGACTCTCTGCTTGTGTCTGTGAAGCACAAGGATCACAAGCCCACTGGCCCAGATCATGAAAACCAAAGTCATCATGTCAGGAAAAAAGTACAATAAAGTATATATTGAGGCATGTTCTGGCATTTTCCAGGAGCAAGACCCATGATTAGTTTCTATGCTGAGATTTCTCTCATTCAATGGGCCATCCACAATGACAGGAAGAAATGAATTCATCAGGAAATGAAGGAACCAGATCAGGAGACAGCAGCCACCAATGAACTTTAGGGATCGAATCTTGAGCTGAATCCATGTGCACCTGCAAATCCTGGGGTTGAGCTTAATGGCCTGGAAGCCATTGAAAAGACACACGATGGTGAAGGACGCCCCAGTGCCCACTCTATAAAAATAGAAGACAAGTTTACACCTGGTATCATCCAGGAAGTAGTTCCATCCCAAAGTTATCATTGTCTGAGGAATACCTTTAGAGAAAAGCACCACAGAGTTGGCCAAAACCAGTTGACTGAGAATCAAATCGATGGGTTTCAAGAGATGTCCACTGAGCACAGTGAAGGTATACAGACAGAGGAGGGAGGAGTTTCCTATAATGCCAAGTACTGTCTGAATGAGGAAAATAATCCCTGTATCAAAGCTGGTAGGAGACATCATACCAATATCCTGAGGCAACTGGATTAATGACGTTAAAGAAAGGAAGAGCTAAACAAATGTCAAAAAAGAGCACCGTCATCACGTCCTTCAATTTTCAGTACATAGTCTATTCTATACAGTCTCACTTTAAATAGACATGCATTCAAACACAGCCCCATGAAGATCTGTATTTGAGTTGCCATCATTATCTATTTTTATGGTTAACAAGTGCAGAGTAAGTTGGTCCACAGATGAAGAAGGGAGGGAGCGAAGATCTTTGTACTGTTATGACTTGCTTTCCAGCAGACATCCTATACGGTAAGAGCAAGATACAAAAACCTATGAAACAAATGATTCCTCTTCACATTAAAATGCGAAGATGGCCTGGCATGATGGCGCATGCTTCAGTCCCAGGACTTGGAGGCAGAGGCAGATGGATCTCTGTGAGTTCAAGGTCTGCACAGTGAGTTCCAGGCTACAACAGGCCAAAATGCAGAGACTAGGAGACTGCAGATTGTATGTCCCTGGATAGGACACCTATATTAAACCTCTGCAATCCAGGGCTCAGGAACCATTGTGGAAGTGAGGGAAGAAAGACTATAAGTAACAGGGTTGGTGGAAGATCACAAAGAAACAGTCTTCCAGGCAGCTGGGATCCTGCTCACATGAACTCACAGCAATTGTGACAGCATGCACAAGACACATGCAAACTCAAAGCAGACAAAAACCCAACACAGAATAGGGGAAATGGGTTAGAAGCCCCAATCTTAGCTGTGGAATTTGTGGTAGATAGGTTGACCAGGCTCCATGGATAAAACATACATTGAGGGTGTGTGGGGACATAAATTTGACTCGATAAGCCTTAACATATATGATATACTGCATGAAATCCAGTGGGGGAGACTGTGGGGGTTAGAGGTAGATAGGGGAGGGAGTCTGAACATGATTAAGATGTAGTGTATGAAATGCACAAAAACTCCATAGAAATATGTATCGTAAGAAAATATGAAGATGGGGACTGAAGAGGTGGCTCAGTGGTTAAGAACACTGGCTACTCTTGCAGAGGACCTGGATTCAGTTCTACGCATCCACATGGCAGGTAACAACTAGCCATAACTATAGTTCTAGTGGAATCAGACCCCTTCTTATAGCTTCTGTGGGCATTGTATGACACAGGTAGACTTGCACATATACAGGGGAAAATTGTTGTACACATCAAATAAAAAGAATACATAAAAATATATTTAAAGCTATTTAAAATAAAAAAATATGAGGGTATAAATATAAGGACAGGGATTATGCAGATTGGAAGGGTAGAAATGGAAAATTCACACAGTGATAGCAAGTATAATTCAAATTTAGATAAAAATGATTATATTAAACTGTAAATGAAAAAGTAGTTGGGTCATCTCTCACAATTCTAATGCACATAAACTTACCAGAAATGGTTAAAATACCTCTGAAATGCATAAGTATATATGAAAGTAGTAATAAGTATAAAGATAATTAAACATTGTCCATCGTAACACTTGTAAATTTCAGTAATTAATAATTTTAGTGCACTAAAGGTCTTTGTGTATGAAATTAATAAACAAAACTTTCAGACTAATCCAAAAGAATATACATGAGCCTAAATAACTCGAAGAAGACTTAATACATGCAGAATATACTATCTAAACAACTCTGCACTTCCTAGCTATTGCCAATAAATCAGACTAGTCACTGAAAATACTCCACAGCCCCGTCAAGCACCGAGAACATTACATCTTACCAAAATAATACAAAACATCCAAAAGAAAAATTATGTGGAACCTGTTCCAGGTGTTGCTAAAAATTCTCCTCAAATAACAAATCTAGTGAACTCCAGATACCCAACATGCAATAGACAAATGCTGTTCAAACCAGAATAGTTGGTGTAGCAGATCAGGAGTGACCTGAGTGCATGTTCATTTTCACTCTCTTCAAATTGAAAATGTTCTGGGGAGTGGGCTCTGCAGCTTATCACTGTAAAGGATCACACAGTATTGAAAAAGAAATTTAAGGATCACAGACAGAATGAAGTCTCATGACAGAGATGAAGCAAAGAGGTAAACAAAGAGGAAGGGAAGGGAAGGAATGGGGAAAATGTGGGAGACCAGGCTTACATGAACATGTTCAGAGGCAAGTAGGTCAGGAGAAGAAGGAGGAGTTTAAGATTTGTTACAAAACCAGTTCCATAAGAGAAACCCTGGCAGGCTTGAAGTTGTGGTGGATTTTATGCATTCTGGCTTATCAATAAGTGCAGAAATTCAGAGTGTATGGGAGACTCAGAATTTCTGTTGGTCATCATCTTCTGTGGAGACCAGAGGGATGAAAGCCATCCATGTGCTGAGCCTCACACCAGGATCTGGTGGCGTGTTGCTTTGAATAGTATTTATAAAATTTATTATTTTTATTTTATGTCTAAGAGTGTATTGCCTGCCTGTGGATAGTTGCACCCATATTGTGCAATGCCCAAGGACGTCAGAAGAGGAAGTTGAATTTCCCTGGAACTGGAGTTATGGATGGTTTTTAGCCACCATGTGAAACTGAACCCATGTTCTCTGCAAGAGCAGCCAGTGCTTTTAACCGCTAAGCCATCTCTCCAGCCCTAAACAGTATTTTTATTTCATGAAAAATTTCAGAAAGTGCCGAAAGTAACACATTAAGGGTAGAAAGAAGATAGCAAACCACACTTGCAAAACCCGGTTACAGACCAATAGAATAGACACATCTGGCATTCATTCAATAAAATCCCTATAGTGGTCTTTTTCTCTGGTGTGTGTGTGTGTGTGTGTGTGTGTGTTAACCACATACTTCCTTAAATGAGCGATTTTTATCTTTATCATGTGAAATATAATGTGCATTATTTATCTATCTATATATTATTATTATTCTTAAAATAACATAAATTTTGGATATAACTACAGATTCCATACTCTCCTTAAAACTAAGATTAAAGAAAGCAAAAGCCGAAGCACACGCTAGCACCCACCTTTAAGGCACCAAGCGACTGCTTAGTGTGTAAGAGCTCATCTTCTGTCTTCTGGCTCGGCCCATGTCTGTGCTATGGACTTTAAGTTTGAGTGATGGAGAGTTGATATTTCAGGGAGTGATGCTAGATAGAGTGACCAGATGTTGTGCCTAATGGGATAAGTGAAAATAATTTCAGGTGTATAACAGAAAAGGCAAGAGAGAGGTTATTCTGGCCCTTTGAAAGGAGCGAGGTGGTAATTTATCAAGGGGATGTCTACCTGAATGTGTGTGTGGGGTGGTTGATCATAGGATGATATTCGAATTATCAGACTAACATTGTAGTTTAGCTGGTTAGAATGTGTGGCATCCACCTGAACAAAATCAAATCTTCCCTAAGGCAGAACAGTGTGAGCACAGTGGACTCGGACTGTGAGGACTCAGTGCTAGTAACTTACTGTGGCCTGGATCTGACTGTGATAATCTGCACATGGTCTTTCCATTTGTTTATCGTGGGTGTCAAGGCTGTGACTTTGCTCTTCCTGGTCAGTATCATTGTGAAACAGTTCGAATAGCTTTCTGAGACTCACACATTCCATACACATTTTTACAATCAGGAACTTGGTCCTCCACGGAGACACCTAAAAGACAATATCAGAGAACAGAAATCTACACAGAAGTCACAGAGGACCAGTTGATGGTTGGCAGAGAGTGTCAGCTGGAGCTGGTGCCTGAGATTTAAAAGCATTTTTCTGAAAGGCAGATGTGAATACACTCCCTACCATCAGTTCTGAGTAGTCCAGTTTTTCAGCTATTAAAACCCTAGAATGCATTATATAATATAAAATTTGGTATTTACCACGGACTAGTCACAGAAGATATTAGAAGTAGCAGAAGAAAACACATATCACAGTTCTCCCTCCACCACAAATGCCCATCTTTTGGTGCTTGCTGTGCAGGTAATGAGTGCTGCTTGTCATGCGGAGATGCGGAATGGAGCCGTTGATTAAGGGCTGGGATTCCATGACCTCATTTCCTTAGTGAGAAGCAATTATCGTTTCCCCTGTAAGTTCAGTGACAGTATCTGTATTGGGACTGGAGATTATGTGCCGAAGTGTATGTGGACAGTGCAAGTCCCTGAGTGCTGTGGAGATAATCAACAAAGACACCCATAGGAGACACAGAACCAGTTTTCTGAGACCTTATGTTGAAATAAGTAAAACTTGTAAAAAGGAAGGGAGTCTCTAATGACTGCTAGAGAAAGTTGGGGACAGATCTCTGCTGGAGTTTTAATTATGTTGATAATTTGGGCTTCTGACTACAACTTTGAGGAGCCCAGGAACGTGATAGCTTCCTATACCACCTAGTGACACACTATATCTGTGTTTCCTTCTAGGAATTGGTGGTTAGTGAAGTCTTGTGCAGCCAAGGACCTGTGGGCCATGGAGATGGTTGGATGTTGTTTCAGAGTGATGTTTGTATTAACTTTCTGGCCATGGTGACTCCTACACTGTGAGAAGAAGAGGGACAAATGGCTGATGACATTGTTGCTATGTCCAAATTCATGCTGTCCTTTAGTGTTGGTGGAGTGATGAATGTGTGTTTAGTCGAGATAATAAAGACAATTTCAGGCAGGGCTTTAACAGCAGACAAGAGAGACATTATTCTGACCCTGGACATTGAGCAAAGCAGTAATATCTTAGGGGGTTTCTAAAATGTATATTTCTTGTGTGTGTGTGTGTGTGTGTGTGTGTGTGTGTGTGTTCAGAGTACTATATTCTAAGTCATAAAACCAGACATATATTTTTGTTACTGTGAATAGATTCTGTGCCATCCACCTGAATGAAATGAAATCTTCCCTAAGATAGAGCAGTGTGCACAGGGTGGCCAGGGAACATGAGGACTCCGCTGTGAGAGGAAGGGATGCCTTAAGTGAAACGGCGACAACATTGAGAATATCGTGAATAAAAACGTGGTTTTCCTCTAATTTTTCAGTTTTTGAGTTTCAAATCTTACACTAAGGCCTT